CAAAAAAAAAAATAATTCGACCCTCGACCTAGTCCTTACAAACAGACCACTAATAGTAATTCGTCTGAGACCACTCGCAGGCATGAGCGACCACGAAGCATTATTTTTCGACAGTGATGTCCAGGTTAAACTTCAAAGACCCTTAGTCAGAAGTTGTACCTGTGGAACAAAGCAGACCTGGAGGGCCTTAGAAACAACATAACTGCCTTTAGTCAACTATTCACAGCTAGCTATGACACCTTACACCCAATCGAGAATCTGTGATCCAGCTCTAAGAACGGATGTCTTGATGCTCTGAATAGGAATGTTCCATCAAAGATGACAACGACAGGCTTCAACTAGCCCTGGATCACAGGAGATCTTAAGCACCTGTCAAGAAGAAAAGATCGTGCCTATAGGCAATAAATAAAAACCAGATCTACCCAGGATCAGTCACGGTATAAGCACTTTAAGAATTCTGTACATGTTCAGTACAAACTGAGATATCATGATGCTTGCAGAAAGGGACCACTAAACCGCGATGGGTTAACATACAGTGATGCCAAGGTGAAGGCAGATATCCTTAACCAACAATTCTCATCTGTTTTCACTACTGAGAATTCCAGCAACCCAATTCCAGACATGGGACCCAGCCCACATCCAACAGTTCCAAGCATCAACGTTCATCAAAATGGGGTGGAGAAACTACTGCAGCAGCTCAACTCCCATAAGACCACAGGACCAGATGAAGTCTCCACACGATTACTAAAAGAAACTTCACAACAGATAGCACCAGCCCTGACCCTATTATATCAAGCTACATTAGACTAGGGCAGGGTGCCAGATGAATGGAAGTCGGCTAACATTACACCACTTTTTAAGAGGGGAGATAGGAGTGCAGCAGTCAACTACCGCCCAGTGTCCCTGATTTCTGCTTGTGGCAAGGTCATGGAGCACATAGTCCACAGCCATATCATGGGTCACTTAGACAAGCATGGGCTCTTGACTGATAGCCAGCATGGTTTCAGGAAACATCGATCTACTGAGCCACAGCTCATCCTACCAGTCAATGACCTTGCACAGAGCATAGGCATCGGAGAAGAAATGGATTGCCTACTCCTGAATTTCTCCAATGCCTTTGACAAGGTCCCCAACAATCGACTTCGGATGAAACTACACTATAATGCCATTTTAGGTCAAACACACCGTTGGATCTCGAGTTTCCTTACCGGACGTAACCAGCGTGTTGTACTCGATGGTCAATCATCAGCAGCCACAATCATTTCATCGGAGTCCCCCAGGGAATTGTCTTAGGCCCATTATTTTTCTTGATCTTTATCAATGACTTTCCATCAACAGTGTCATCTACCACCCGCCTCTTTGCCGATGACCGCTTGTCATATAGAAGGAAAAGGACAACAAAAGACCAAGCCATTTTACAGAGCGACTTAAATAAACTTCAGGAGTGGGAAGACAGATGGTCCATACAGTTCAACCCGGATAAGTGTGAAGTACTGCGGGTTACAAACCGGAAATCCCCATTTCGCGCCGACTATACCATACCCAGCCAAGTCCTAAACACTGTCGACTCTACCAAGTATCTTGGTCTCACAATCCACAAGAACCTTAGCTGGGATACACACATAGATAAAATCACTAAGAAGGCCAATTCCACCCTGGCCTTCATCGGCAGAAACATCAGTTGATGTCCAACTAACATCAAGGCACAATGCTATTCCACACTGGTATGACCCATGATTGAGTACTAGTATGCCTCCAGTGTGGGGAGCTTAGCTAAGAAGGAGAGTATCAAGAAGACCGAGGCAGTACAACGAAAGGCAGCTAGATTTGCCATTGGAGACTACCAGTACACAAGCAGTGTAACATCAATGCTACAGCAGCTCCAATGGCAGTCACTTCAGATCTGTCGGGAAAGGGCCCAAGTTATCATGAGATATAGGATAGTTTACCATCTTGTAGACATACGGTGGAGAGCTTCTTACACCCAGCATCTTGAAGGACCAGTAGCCACATCCTGCGATTCCTAGTACTACACACAAGGACAGAATTGTAATCGACCTCCTTCGTCCCTCAAGCCATCCGGCTGTGGAATTCCTTACCAGGAGGAATGGTGAAGGCCAAGACCCTGGACAGCTTCAAGACCCAGCTTCTCAGTGCCAGCCACTAGATTTCACATCTCTCCGCTTTTAATCTTTTAATTTTATGAGCACAGTATATATAGACACTCATCCCCTCAGGCAGAATGCAATAATACTTAAGTGGTTTTGCACTGCATGGGAAGAAGAAGAAGAGAACTATGTAGTAAATTAGTGAATTGTTTTTTATTGATAAACTGTTGCATCAATCTTGAAGACACAAGGGAACAATCAAAGTAATGAGAGTTTTCATGGGAGTTGAACATTGTTATCTGAAAGATCTCATAGGAAGTATAGGAACAGTTTCATGCTTTCAGATTCAAGTCAGCTAGAACTGATTTGTTAGAGATACAACACGAAACATTAAAAATAATTTCTATTGCATTTGAATAGCCAAGATCATGGGACTGCTATTAAATTAGCTGCAGAACTGTAGCTCCTCGAAAAAAGAATTTGAACGACCGCAGAGCTACAGTGCCATCCATAGAAAAAACTGTATATTTATAGTGCACGAACAGTTAAGTTTAGTTCTGGATTTATTCTTTCTAATTCTTACCTCAACAATTTGACCAAACCAAACAAACAACCCACCACCACCAAAAAAAAAATTTCCAAACTCTATTTTGTGGGTAGGTTTCAAACTTCTTTCGGTACCATTTATTACTCAAACTCAAACACAACCCTTATATTTCTGACGCATTTGAATCAAAACGCCCCCTACTCTCTTTAGAATGTGTACATGATATTTGGTCCCAAGAAACAAACAAACAAACACTCTTTATATTCGATGTTACCATCACCAGACACTGATTGTCATTTTTCTTCCTCTGATTAAAACATGTATTTGCTATTCTCTTTTGGGTATGAATGTTTCTTTTCGGACACAATAAATTTTTTTATAGAACTCCGTGCTTATCTATTTTATCAAATGTATCTATCTTTATAACTTAATCAAGTTTTGTTATTCCATAATTTTAAATTTCATTTCAAGTAATTTCTATATAGAAGTAAATATCTGAATACTTTACATTTTGTTTGTTTGACGTTCGATAATTTTTCAATCATATTGAGACACTACCACTTGTCGATGGAGCCAGCTACATGTTTACCTATACACGACACTCAAAACCATGAGTAGTGAGGGATTGTTTTGTGCAAGCACGTGTTACTGCGACATGGGATTTCGGTTTATATGGTCTCATCAAAAGAATCTCCAAATGCAACCCACAGGATTCGAACCTGAATCTCTAGAGCAAACTATTTTAACAACTACGCTTCGCGAATGACACTTAAAGTTTGTGATTTTGATTTGATTCAAATGTAATTAAAAATCAGACATAGTTTAACGAGCTACTACAAGAAAAAAACAGTTGTAATCATGAGGAACGATCTTTCTCACAGTTCGATCATTGGGATTATTAAACCATTGTGTCCGTGCATACGCATGTATTCATTGATTTTAACTGTTTTGATTATATAATAATAAAATCAAATGATACATTTTATAAGGAAATACTGTAATGCAAGTACATACACATTTTTCAAGTTCAGATTTGGTGTTGTACACGTGACCAGCTGAATGCTGATAAATTCATGAAATTAAGGATGCAAAATTAATGTCATTTGAAATTGTGAGATCGAATATCAACAAACTTTAATGCTATTATTATTTCCCTATACCAACGTAAAACAAAATGAGTTGCATTTATCTGGTCTGACAAAAAATTTCCAGTCTAACAGATCATTTTACTTGTCAGAGCAAATAAATGTCTGACTGTGATATTTTCCATAGTATTTTTTTTTTAAGAAACGTTGTTCTGTCTCTTTATTGCTGAAACAAATTGAAAAAGTTGGGTTAAACCATAGGGTTCCTTTGACCTTACATCTTTGTTTACATCTCTATATTAAGACAATCCCGTCATTGTCAAACCAGTTAGACCAGTTGTTGCTCCTTGGATGACCTCGCACTTTTTGTAATGGAGCGTAGCGGAGTCAGCCGAGGATTGCCGAATGATAAATGACGGAAAACTGGGACTTTTTTCATACAGAAATCAAAATTTACGTGTCATTTCTTAAGAGAGATGACGAAAATATGCTATTCAAATTAAGTTAAATAAAATTCTATTTCATTTACTTTCAAATCATTTATGAAAATTAGATTACTTCAGAAAAATGAGATGGACTATTTTTATTGCGGAAGTTTCTTCGAGTTTATATAGACTGGTTCGAGTTTGTATTTAATATCACAGGGGAGTAAATTGGCCGACACAGAAATACCACGACGGCCGCTATATAATTCATTGTAAAAGTACTGCGCTAGAAACCGCGTGGCGACCTAGGGAGTCTGAACATAGTTCAACTCCCAAAAAGGGATCTTAGCTTATCTAGTCCTTTTATGTGACACACCGTGATGTACAAGAACAACTCAATGATATTTTATCAGAATCTGTAATGTTATAATTGTCTTGCTACTTTTTACAATAATATAAAATTGTTTTCAACAATTCAGTAATTACTATACATTAAATCAACATGAATCATATTCAAAAAATTGAATATAGATAACTGTTAACAAATAACTGTTAACAAATAAATCAAATGCAACAAGTGTGATACAAAAATAAACCCTTGAACTATTGAATCTGTTTAGTCTATTTTTGGATTATCAACAACAGAACAGTATCTGGTTAAAGCATGGCTTTATACACCAATTATGGTTTACATTAATTTTATTGCTTACATGCTGCAGTTACTTGACTGTAATATAACATATGAATCTTACTCTTTTAAAAGAATACAGAACCCACTACTTCAAAGACTAACAAAACAGTTTTACATGAAAATTCCATGGATTATTTTTTTCATACTGCTGTATTTCAGAAATGGATTGATTTGCGTTTTATTCCCTCTTGGGTTTGGCATTCCAGTAATATAAAATCTGAGCAAATATCAGTCCATTGAAGACCGTTGATACGATGAATGTGATGATAATTAGATTGTCTCCGGTCTCCTGGATGGACGTGAAGACTCGGGCTAGTGACCCTGCAAACAACAGGAAGACCGTCACCACAGACAGCTGACCCGTACCGCCATTACGATAATTAGTCACGGCCTGCAGCATCTGGAGGGAGAGAATCAATAAATCAATAGAGGATACAAGTGTCCGTCTTAGGTACAATATTAATGTTCCTCTGATAAGAGAGATAACTCTTTTTGGGGGTAAATGACTATCATTCTGTAATAGGCTTAAAAAAAAAATATGTTTGTTTCCTGTAACATTCCAAAAAAATTAAGGGTCGGTAGGTCGGGAATTCTTTTTTTTTTTTTTTTTTTTGGCTTATGAATGGTTAAACATCCCCGGACTGAATATACCAGGTGTCATATTTACAGTGGACACCCAACATGGCATCCAAAATGGCTGCCAAGGGGCAGAAAACGAACTTCAGAAAGTTGTAGGGGAAATTGTTGTTACAATAATAATTATTACTCTTTATAACTAAGGTAAATGTAAACTAGGTTGACATATTTTATGTCTCAAGTTAAGCTACAAGCGAATTTTTTTTTAATAAATGGAATCAGCTAATTGATCAAACGAAGTTTTGCCATTTGTCAGAAAAAAAAAAATCCACCCGGGGGTAATTTGAATGGGTCAGTCGGGTTACAGGAAACAAACATATTTTTTTTTTAGGCCATAACGTTGTCAATTTAAAATTACCTTTTCAGTCAAATTGTTAGCAAAATGGTTTGTCCAAATTTTTGCCAATCCTTATTATAATGGTCAATTTAATGAATTTTTTTTTTTAAACTTGCATGCATCCTTTTAGAGTCAATATGGAGCAAAAATAATTAAGGTTTCCACTCCAGTATATATATTTGTTCCATCACTTACCTTACTAAGTATCACTATTGGTATATTAATGCTCTGTAATGCCCCTAAAATTGGCAGCGGACACAGTCCTGACAGTAGATAAGCCATGATTCCTATATAGGAGGCTGCAAATAGCAACGCCGCAACAGCATTACTACCCAGGAATAGGATTAGGAAGGCAATTGTACTGGTCTGTATTGTCAGGAATAGACCCTCACCATAGGCACTGAAAAATAGAGATCATTTTTGATAATTATATATATCAGGAACAGACATGCGAAATAGAGATAGTTAGAGACATTGAACATGCAAAGACCTTCTCCAAGCAAAGACCACAAAGCTAACCTCATCATTTTAACATAAATACAAAATTATATATCAATAACTAGAGGAGACAAAAGGAGTTTTCTCATCAATGTTACTTTAGTTTTCTCTTTTACAAAAATACATAATTTCTGGAACTGAACTTGTAAAATAGTCAGAGAACATTTCAAAAATAATGTATTTATAATTTAACAATAATTAAAAGCCAATACTTTTTGCAAAATGAAGAAATAAAAAATCCTCCAGTATAATTAGTAATTTACAGTAATTTTATGAAACACTCACACTCTATATTTCATACCTAGCCAATTGCTAATGTGAAAGCCCTGAACTTATTTGTTGTGCTTGAGACAGGCTCACAACCCCTTCCCACCTACATTAGCTCATATCTAATGGTTTGTGAGTTTAAGATAGACTTGCAATCTATTCAAACTAAAATGGCTAAAAAGGTTGAGACAGACTTAAAGTTAATTCTAACCTAAATTCGGAAGCCCAAGGCTAGTGAGTTTGAGACAGATTCATAGTTTATTCACACCTGAATGGAAATTCACGACTTGCATGTTTGAGACAGATTCTCTGTCTTTTCACACTTGAATGGGAAGCTCAATCTATACTAGTGAGATCTAGATAGAAGCTCAATACTAGCAATTTTGAGAAGACTCACGGTTCATACACACTTAAATTGGTAGCTCATGACTAGCGAGTTTGAGACAGACTCATAGTCTATTCACACCTGAATGGGAAGCTCATGGCGAATGCGTATGTGGTGGTGGCTGAGATGGCAAAGAGTTCACACAGGACAGCGGCCAGACTGATTCCTTCCCCACTACCTGCCTTCAGAATCTTCACAATCTGGGGAAGCTTCACTGAAAGAAATCAATTTTCATTAATCAATACAGTAAAACTCGGTTATAACGAAGTCGCTGGGACCTATGAAATTACTTCGCTATATCCGTAATTCATTATATCCGTATAAGAAATTAGTTCAATTTACAGCGAGCGCAGCAAGGCAGCGCGAAGCGCCGCTCGCGTAGCAAGCTCAATAGACTAACGTGTACGAACGGAGGAAATTCGGGTTGAAATCTGCACATTGTTCCAAGAAATTTTTATCTCACCGCGTGAAAAAATTCCAAACTCTCAATAATCCTTTGCGGTGCATAGCAACATGGTGGCTATCTCCATGCCACAAAACTATCATTTGCGTTCAGAGTCAACAGGACTTTTTATTTGACGTCATACTTTCGTCACTGAAACGGCTTGGGTATTTCTGATTTTGTCAGAAACTTCTGAGAAGTTCGGAATCTTGATCCCGATGCCTGGGAAGTGATTTTGGTTTTTTTTTTCTTCTTTTTTAATGAACTGAGGATAGGCAGTGGAAGTCAAAGCTGTGTAAATGTTTTTGATAGTAAATAACTGCGCTCGCCCCAACGGTCGCATCGTAGAACATATTATAGTTTGGGAACCAAGATAACTTCGCTATATCCATGAATTCACAATATGCGTGTTCGTACTAAACGAGTTTTGCTGTATTACAGTACATTTACTAGATATTAATAATTTTACATTAACATTTTTTTTTCTGTAATTTCAATGTTAATGAGATTCATTCCTCAGAAATCATGAAATTCTTGTGGATCAATCTCATAAAGGAGAATAACAGAACATAATGATTGCTTTTTAAGAAAGCAATGAAAAAATATGATATGTCAGTTAATCAACAAAATTGAACATGCATTTCCTTTAGGCAATGGGCCCCAACCTGCTTTAAACTGCATTTGAGTTACATACCCATAACAGCTCCTAAGATAATACTGTATCCTAGTGCTTTGCTAAGCACTATGTTGAAACATTGGGCTGAAAAAAGAAGGAAAACTATTTAAACATCATGATGATTAATACTGAGGAAAAATAATGAGTGTAAAAATGCAAGTGCATTAATTTCTATAAATGTTGTCAAAATATTCACTGACATCGTCCTACATGTAATGTGTTTTAGGAAAAGTAAATCCTAGCTGTATGTCCATAATTATGTTCCACTTCTTGAAACCTTAGATCTCAAAATGAAACATGAGAAAATTTCATATAACTAAGTTACTAACTAACTAACTAGCATATCTCTTTTCAATATTTGACAAAATTTTAAACTCTGTCAACATTGGTCAATCAGGGACCTTTAAAAATAGGTTCTTGGGCCAATGTATATCTATCAGTCGGAAGTTTGTCTACTTGCAAAAATGGATCCGAGGAAATTCGAGTGCAGAGGACTTTGATCACTGTCGGTTTTTTGTCTTTTGTAACTAAATAAAGCATAGTGTCATTCAAATATGCATAGAATAAAATAAAAGTCGTACCGTGAAAGAAATTAAATTTCACAAAATACTCATCATAGCATGGCTGAGGGAAAATGAAGTGCAAATAATTTTCCAAACCGGTGGATGTGTTGTCACCCGCCATGTTTATTTCTGTGAACTGGTCCTCTATGTTGACAGAAGGCCACCAGTTTAAGGTGTTTGCTAAATCTTTCAGATATTTTTCGTGATGTTTGTTAAAATATTTTCGGTTAGTTCTATCAATTTATATGTAGAAGTTGCTTCCTCTTATGCTTAGAAAGGTATAACACTTCTTATGTAGATTTACCTCTAAATAATTTAGGTAAACATTCGATCTAGGCAAAAGAAAACTTTTCATGATTTTAGAACATTGTTCCAAGATGTCAAAAACGATATTTGAGAAATTGTTTACACAAAATGTTAAGAAGTCCCATATTTACTTAATCACTGATAATTTTGCTGAAAATAGTAACTCACAAGGGGAGGGGGGGGGGGGGATTAGAGTGATTTTCCCAAAATACAAAATAATTTTCCACCAGATAGGCCTCACCCTATTTCAATTTCTACTTGTTTTCTTAGTCTGTGTTAACTATTTGAAACTTATAGTATACTTGATTTGTTGATAAGACCGCAAAACATTTACTGGAAAGATTGGAAGTATGAAGCTTTCGTAATTTCTATCTGTTACAACGAAAACATTAAATGATAGACTATGAAATGGGCGGGACGTACAATTCGACGCGGACGAGGGGAAAACATTGGATTGAAATTCTCATAGGCGTCGGAACCGGGGGGGGGGGGGGGGGGGGGGGGAGGGGGCTTAGCCCCCCACTTTTTTTCTAAATATATAATTAGTATAGACATTGAACATATCTTCGTAAGTTTAGCCCCCCCCCCACCCACACTTTCCACAGATACGTCTTAGTAAAGGTTAAAAATGGGGAAAGTGGTGGTGTTTGGAAGAAATTTTTTGGTACTGGAGTTCGAACCTAACCACACACTTAACGCACACATAACACGTACGCACATGCATAAATTTTACCATTATATCAAACAGAAATCATATATTAGTCCCTTCATATATTCCTTTAAAACGCTGGGCAGAAAATTCCCATTTACAATATTGTATATATTATTTTCAAATTATACCGAAATTGAAATTATTTGTTCTCTGGTTCAATCGGTAATACTATGTAATGTGCCTTCTAGCGTAGCTGAGGTGGATTGAAAATGAATTTCAAACTAGAATTTCAATCCAATGTTTTCCCTGCGTCCGCGTCGAATTATACCCTTCCATTTCATTCTTTGTCATTGAATGTTTTGATTGTAACAGGTAGAAATGACGTAAGCTGCATATTTCCAATCTTATGTTCCGCGGTCTTAATTTAACCAAAATGTAAATTTCGCCTACAAATAGGTCAGGCCTCGTGTTATTTAAATCTATAATACATGTGTAGTCTACATTTTTAAAATCTAAATTTAAAATATTTTATTCCATAATTTTTAACGAAAGGGAAATAAATTATAAGGAATCAGCAATTGCCGCCTGTTCTGTAAATTATCCCTCGTTTCCAACTATCGTTGATGCCCTTGCATATTCTATTAACTAGACAGTGATCCCTTAAATATATACATGTAGTACTATTCATCCTTTTGTCATTTAGTTTTCATGTTGTAAATTTTGTATTTACCGCCACCCGGTCATTAAATTCAAAATTTACAACATGACACTTTAATACAGAGGAAATGCAGAGTATATAAATAATTTATCATAATGAATATAATAGATACTCGTATAACTTATAAATATATATATTATTTTTATAATTTATCAGAAATTTTTTCAATTACATAAAATAAAACAAATTGTGTTTCCAAAAAAGGATCTCCTGCTAAATCAATATAATTAAAGCACTCTGAAAATTGATCTCAGTGCCAAGATTTCATCAAGTTTTTTAAAAATTGCCCCCACAAATGAATCCCTCCATAAACTCCAGTCCCACGCAGAATCAGTAACGCTCTTCCGACATTACGGTTTCTTCTCTCTCCTTGTAAGTGGGCGGGGGAGACATCGGGGGGAGGTTCTCCTCGTATTCCGGCGGGGGACATCCGTGGTGTTTGGGAAATGTCTCTGCGTCAACGTCACCGTGCCGGAAGTCTCCCTGGAGATGACTCGGAGAGACTGGAGAGTTAAAAGGTTCACTTCCGGTTTGATATGGATGCATATCACCCATAACCTCTAATTCGTATCCAAACTCATCTGTTAAGAAAAAAAATCAAAGTCCAATCATCAAATACTAGTTATCAATGTTGCTCCTGTCTCCCAAATGATTTGATAAGAAGAGCAATATTATGTTTTGAGTACAGTCAAATGTAAATCTAAAATCCATCAAAGTAAGTGACAAACAAGTTGATGTTACAGATTTTCTAACAATTTCGCTTTTAATTAAAATTTATCCCTCTAATATGGCATCTTTTTAGTATCAAATGTGTGCAACAATAAAGATACATGCTTTAGTTTCACAACACAATATCCCCATTTTTAAATCGAATAAACATCTATTTCAGCTTTTCAAAAGGAAATCATGAAGCTGGGTTGCAAGTTCAATGTAATTAACCCATAAAGATACTTTTTTTTTCTCCTGTAAGGTACATTTTGTACACTGTCTATATATTGATTTGTGTATACACACCGATTTCGGGTTCCACGTCGACAAGCTGTTTGGATTTCTTGTTGCTTTGCCAACATATGAACATGACCACGGAGACAATGAGGAAGAAAACCAGAGCCCCAACCACACCCCCGACAATGGCGCCCGTACTGTCAAAGAGAATGCACAGGTGTTATTGACAAGACTAGTATATATCTAGATCTTCCTTGCTTTATAGTATAATTAAAGCAAAAAAATATTATAATTCATTCTTCAACAAGAGGCCTTTTTGCCATATTGCTCACCTGCATGAGCACTCTGGCTAGGAGATAAATTGAATCTATAAAAATTATTCCGAAACAAGTGCCTGTGCTATAAAAAATCCGAACCTACAACCTTAGAGGGAGGGGTTAGTTTGAACAATTGAAAGTGAAATTAAATCTATCCTTGATGAGGATGTTTTTGTATTCAATTCTTTGACTAATTATCTTTTGTACGTTTCTTTGCAAATGTTTGATCTTCTATTGTAGCCCTGTGCTACCTCCAGGAGACAAGATCTGAATAAACTTGACTCTACAATACGTAGTCTTTTTTTGAGTTTGCTCCAATTTTGATATATGACTAAGCTCTTGAGAAGTATATTCTGTTTAAAAGATGAATCCTATATACATGTACATGTAGTTTCATTTGTAAAACTACCGGAATGTCATGATTTATACACTATTTATTAGCAAGCCTTCACTAAAGTTTCATTTTTCCAGTGTTTTTTTTAAGAAGAATACTAACTTGCAATGACTCCACCAAATTTTCACTATTCCATGATGTATAGTCTGTAAATTCGTTTTTTATTTTTAGTTTGTCTATCACCTCTAACTTTATTTTTACAGCACTACATAGAATAGATTTTACTAACTGTCTTTTCATCACTTTATTTCTTTTATTATTTTTAATTTTTACGTCTTTTAAAAACACCTTCTAGGGTGCTCCTTATACATAGGAGGGAACTCCATAACTGAACTGAACTGATAATTAACCCCCCCCCCAACACAGTTGCCATTAATTTGACCAAATTTGAATGCCCTTTAGCAATTATTAATACTCTGTGCCAAGTTTGATCAAATGATTCTGGGAGAAAGGAATGAAAGTATGAAAAGTTTACAACTACGACGGACTTCTGAAGGCGAACAAATTTTTTACCAGAAAAGCACTAACAGCCTTTGGCTTTGCATCCTCACATTGTCAAGGTTTTGTGACTTCGGAACTCCACAAGCGGTTACCGTTATGTTGAGTTCCGAAATTACAAAACCTTGACATTGTGAGGATGTTGGCTTTGGTGAGCTCATAAAACACAATAGTTAAAGCACTTTTAAAAGCAATAAGTCTCAATACATTACTCAGACTTACTTATCCGCGGAGCAGCATTTCCGACTTCGTTCTGATCCACAGCAGCCCACCGAGCAATACTCGTAGTAAAACAGGGAACTATTGGAGGAGTAGAAAGTCTTACACGTGATTGTCAGGGCCCCTATAACAAAGGAGGGAAATTAAAATGTGAGGGACTCGTAGTAAAACAGGGAGCTATTGGAGGAGTAGAAAGTCTTACATGTGATTGTCAGGGCCCCTATAACAAAGGAGGGAAATTAAAATGTGAGGGACTCGTAGTAAAAGAGAACTATTGGAGGAGTAGAACGTCTTACAGGTGATTGTCAGGGCCCATATAACAAAGGAGGGAAATTAAAATGTGAGGGATTTATAAAACAGGGAGCTATTGGAGGAGTAGAACGTCTTACAGGTGATTGTCAGGGCCCCTATAACAAAGGAGGGAAATTAAAATGTGAGGGACTCGTAGTAAAACAGGGAGCTATTGGAGGAGTAGAACGTCTTACAGGTGATTGTCAGGGCCCCTATAACAAAGGAGGGAAATTAAAATGTGAGGGACTCGTAGTAAAACAGGGAGCTATTGGAGGAGTAGAACGTCTTACAGGTGATTGTCAGGGCCCCTATAACAAAGGAGGGAAATTAAAATTTGAGGGACTCGTAGTAAAACAGGGAACTATTGGAGGAGTAGAAAGTCTTACACGTGATTGTCAGGGCCCCTATAACAAAGGAGGGAAATTAAAATGTGAGGGACTCGTAGTAAAAGAGAACTATTGGAGGAGTAGAACGTCTTACAGGTGATGGTCAGAGTCCCTATAACAATGGAAGGGAATTAAAATGTGAGGGACTCATAGTAAAACAGGAACTATTGGAGGAGTAGAAGGTCGTACAGGTGATTGTCAGGGCCCCTATAACAAAGGAGGGGAATTAAATGTGAGGGACTCATAGTAAAATAGAGAACTATTGGAGGAGTAGATCGTCTTACACGTGATTGTCAGGGCCCCTATAACAAAGGAGGGGAATTAAATGTGAGGGACTCATAGTAAAATAGAGAACTATTGGAGGAGTAGATCGTCTTACACGTGATTGTCAGGGCCCCTATAACAAAGGAGGGACTCATAGTAAAACAGGGAACTATTGGAGGAGTAAAACGTCTTACACGTGATGGTCAGAGTCCCTATAACAAAGGAGGAGAATTAAAATGTTAGGGACTCGTAGTAAAACAGGGAACTGTTGGAGGAGTAGAAGGTCTTACAGGTGATGGTCAGGAACATGCACAAAATTATGATAAATCAATTTTTATATTGAAAAAAATGTAAGTTATAATACCTCAAAAATATAAAATTTCCCCGTCGAACACATCTATATGTCGTTATATGCAAGCAAATTGAACTTTTTCTCACGTTTAAAGAATGGCCCTATTCGGTATAATAAATACCGAATAGCTAGGGCCATTCTTTAAACGTGAGAAAAAGTACAATCTGCTTGTATATAACTACATATAGTTGTGTTTGACGGGGAAATTTTATATTTTCGAGGTATTATACACTGTTACATTTTTTTTTCAATATAAAAAAAAAGGGGGGGTATTATCCATACTTCAGGTGCCTGTGGGTCAGGGCCCCTATAACAAAGGAGGGAAATTAAAATGTGAGGGACGCGTAGTAAAAGAGAACTATTGGAGGAGTAGAAAGTCTTACACGTGATGGTCAGGGCCCCTATAACAAAGGAGGGAAATTAAAATGTGAGGGACCTCCTCAAGAGTAAAACACACATCTGTTAAAATAATAGAATTGTACAGGTGATTGTCAGGGCCCCTATAACAAAGGAGGGAAATTAAAATGTGTCAATATTTTTCTATTGGAGGAGTAGAACCTTACAGGTGATTGTCAGGGCCCCTACACACACACACAATTAAAATGTGAGGGACTGTAGTAAAACAGGGAACTATTGGAGGAGTAGAAAGTCTCTGGTGATTGTCAGGGCCCCTATAACAAAGGAGGGAAATTAAAATGTGAGGGACTTTTTTAAAAACAGGGAGCTATTGGAGGAGTTTTTTCTTACAGGTGATTGTATCACTATTACAAAGGAGAGGAAAGGGAATTAAAATGTGAGAGATTCGTACATATAGAGAGAAGGCAAATTTAAGGACCAACAGCCCTCGCAAAGAGCCAGACCAGTTCCTGGGGCCAGAAAACATAGACCAGATCTTTTTTGATCTCGTTCTCCTTTTCACTATCATTCCTCGGTTAAAATAGAATTGAGATTTAAAGTTAGTTTATCTAAGTTTCATGGCCCCGGAGCCAGAGAAAGGACATTTGGGATACGAACTTCAAAATTCCACCCCAACCCATTGCGCCTCAAAATATGATTATCATACCCCCTATTAAAATACTAGTAATAAGAGTTGTAATCGTTTTAGTCAAGAATTTTCCTTGTCAATATTTTTCTAATAATTGACCCTTCCACCGACACCCCCCCCCCCCACACACACACACAATCTTAGATCCATACAAGAAGGTACGTATGATAGTAAAATAGATGTATATTCAAAATAGTATCAATTTTTAAGTGAATTCAAGGGTTCAGAAGGTAAAAGGTAGTGAATTTAAAAGCCAAATATGAAATGTATCGATACCGTGGAATTATATGCAGGAAAACTACGAGTTTGTTGTAGTTTCGAAAGATGTGTATCTCACAAAAGTTTGTACATCAAAAATTTTGTGCAATTCACGCTCAATTTATATTAAAACTTACCTTCAAAAGAAGTCAGTATAAAAATCAGCTGTAGCAGACAAAATCTACATGACCACAGCCCCATTGTTGGTGCCTACACATAAAGCTTGTGTCCTGATAAATTACCGTATTCTTTATACTTATTTACTTCATAGAGAATATAACTTCAACTGGCAATTTAATTATTTTCTTTTAAGTTCGTTACAAATTTTTCTGTTTTCTTTTTGGATTTATTTAAATGTCAGAGTTCTCTCGTTTTCAACTTTAAGTCTGTTCATTCTTTGGTCATGCTCGTCAATACATTTAACAGTTTAAGATTATTACAGTACACCCCTTTAGGAACCACAGACGGACTATATGTTGAAAGCACGGGCACTTGCTAAAATAAGACTCCTAAACCTCACATATAAAACTACGGTTCAACACCCCTTAACTCATAAAATTGTAATTTAATACTGATCTCCCATTTCAATTTTTTTTTTAATTCTGCATCCCCAGCGGTTAATGAGAGATCTCTGATCACACGGCTTTTAATTTTAAACAAATTCTGATTTCAGCTGAATCCATTTTTTTCTTTTTAAATTTGTAGACATTGTTTCCTTAATAAGATTCATCTGTCTTGATTTTCCCTCAAGTCAATTTATATGTTTTTCTCGTTTTTCTTTTTTTAGAAGAATATCATTTTAATTTATATGAATAATAAATACAAATTAAAAGTGCTTGACTGTGATTCATGCAATTCAAAATTTATTCCATCGATCATATCATATACTTCTATAAGCCACTTAAGATATACATGCATGAAGTTTGAACAAAAGTCAGATAGGATCAAAGATGGGCTTATACAATTGCATATAATGTGATAATGTGTATTGTTATCCCTATACATGTAACAAAAAGCATAAATAATGTATGAAAAACTATATTTTTGAAAAAAGTTTGCTAATGACTTATATAGAAGATTGTTAACAAAGGCTTTTGCACTACAATTAGATATGCTATCTAATTAGTCGAATAACAAAAGCATTTTCTGTCGGGTTGCCGTGGATAAGGGATTTCGTGGACTTTGGTGCCAGCGTCACGCCGATTCTCTCCCCTTTCTCTAACCACCTGGACAGCACTAAGACTTCGCTATGCCCCGCCCATCCCTTCTTCTGCCTCATTCGGTTACAGCCTAGGGTAATTCCTGATGACGTCACAATGCAGCTGTAAATCGTGACATCGCCCATGCCTGTCTTGAGTTGCGTCTCGATGCTCAGTGTCGAGTGAAGGTCATAAAAGCCACTCTTGGGGATGATAAAGAATCCCTCGGAGTACACAAACCCGCCTCTGGTGTAAGTCTGGTTTTTGAAATTTTTCCATCTTAGAATCTCATGGCCATCTACGGTTATAAGAGAAGTAATTCCCCAATTAATTAATTCGTTTTTAAAAATGAATGGAAAATACCCAATGCCTTTAAATACCTACTTTAATGAAAAATTTTAAATATCTACAATAAAACTCTTTGAAGTGACTGGGGTACAAATGAAGTGCCATTTAAATCACAATCCGATTAAATTAATTCAAAAACGCTATAAAAAGTTTATAAAAGATATGCGGGTGGCTTTTAAATTAGCTGTTTAAAAATGAATACAGGAAATCCCCGCCACCACCCAGATATTGATATGTGTATATTTTGAGAAACTTCTTACACAGCTAAGATATGTATAACACAAATTATAATTTATCTTCTCTGATAAAACATTCTACATAGTTCTAGCTCAGAAAAATTATTCACAAACTTACATCATCAATTTTTAAAAGGTCTGCATTGTGTTTGTTTTTCAAACTTCATTTGCATAATCAATTAATCGATGTATATTATATACATAATTATATATATATAATTATGTTGAAAAATCAGTTATATGATATATATGTTAAAATAATTCTATATATAGATTTACTGACCTGTTAATGAATCAGTGTCCAGAACCATGTACGCTACAGGAAAATTTCCGTGGAACGATTCGTTCCGAGAATAAGCTGGCGGGGTGATGTCTGTCTATAAAAAAATATATCATGTATAAATATTTATAATTCAGCATAAAATTTTATGTGATCGGAAAATACAATGAATTTTGCAAAATCTTGTTGCATGTCCGTCTATTAAAAAAACATCATGGTTAAATGCAAATGAAAAAAATTTAGGGTTCTTTTTGGTTTTTAACGAAATGTTACATGTTTTTAAAAATTATATAAAATTGAATCTAAGTGTTTTAAAAATTAATTATAACTTAATTAATTTAACTCATCATATTTTCCATTTCAAACAGGAAAATAAAGAACACTTACCAATTTCCAATATTCTTCCAGAGGGGTTTTAAAAACATTTCGGGCGTAGACAAAAACTCCCACAAAAGCAAGAAACGTAACCATAGAAACTGCCGCTGACGTGCCAGACACAAGGATGGACTTTCGGCATCTTCTTGAAGTTCTTCGTCGTGGTTTTAGTTGTTCTAAATCTGGAAGAGTTTCTTTTAATCTTTCGTCATTTGATAACGCTAACTCCTCGTCAACTAGGAGAGTCATGTTAGGTTGTACTGTAGAGGTCCCACAAGTCGAATTTTATATACCGGTATATGTTTTTAAAACGTGCAGGAGTTATAACAAGAGCGCGATCTATATTTAAAGTTCTAAAAATTTCAGTAGCAGTAAAGAATTAACCAATCAGTTTTCAAAACTTATTTTTGGTGTATTGGAATTTCCAAATCTAAAAATACGCACACATAAATGGGGGTTTTATAACGTGTACATATGAGTTCGCATGGTTGTTTTTCGAGGAATTTTATTTAAAATTTTTATTTGCTGCGAAAGTTGTCAATGACATTAAAATTTATTTTTGAATAGAATTTAGTTGGAGGACAATATTTTCATGCGAACGTTTTTTCTAAATATTATATTATACAATTGTAAAGTTGTCTATGTATAGAAAGACAAAAGGTCAAAATGTTTGCATTTCTAGATCTGTGCATGTACCAGCGCAACATGTAAGAAACTAAATTGATATTCAAAATGTCTTGAATTAATCATCATTATCGTTAATTACAGGATATGATTTAAAAAATAAGCAATATTTTCCTATTTTCCCCTTTTTATTAAAATAAGATGTGCTTTGAACAAATTTGTGAACATTGGTATTTAATTCAGAGTCCAAGTACATGCATGTATATTTATATAGCTATAACTTTGGCCACACATGCAGGTATATATGCCTTGGCAGAAAATATATAACTTCAAATGGATGTCTTTTTCGAAATGTACGCAAAGTTCAGGGCAGAGAATTTCCTAATTATAGCCCATGAACCTCTACATATTAATGTTTATATTATAAGCATTTTTATAAGCATTATGTAATAAAAATCATATATTAAAAAAAACTATACTTATTATCGAATCAGATTATTAGATAAACCGGGGGGGGGGGGGGGGTCCCCATCACGTTTTTGATTTAGTTTGAAAATGTATATTGAAGAGCATCTATACAATCCCACCCCACCAGATCCATACATCCCCGCTTTTTTTTTTTTTTTTTTTTATTTTTTTGTCATTTTGTAAAAGACCCTCAAAATTATTGTTGTCTGAAAAGTTTTTAAGCTTATGAAGCATTAGAAGTGAAAAGTCACCCCCACCCCACCCCAAACAAAATAGGTTTTTGAATATTTCTAGTTTGGATTTTTGTTTTGTTGTTTTTTGTTTAAAACAAATTTTAGTTGTTTGTTGTTGTTTTTTTGGAGGTTTTTTTTTTCTCTCTCCACTTATTTTTTTTTAATTTAGGCTGAATATGTACATTAAAAGGTCGCCATTCAATCCCACCAATCCGACCCAATACTTTGTTGCAATACTTTTAAATTTGTTTTTATCGAAAAAAAATTACTTTACCCCCAGCCTGCATCCCTACACCCCAACCACCACCTCACTCCTTAAATATTTCTAGTTTGGATTTTTTTTTAATTATAGATGTATACATGATTAAATTCTTTCGTTAAAAGATACTTTGATATCTGAGAGGTAAAAACTTTTAAAGAAAAAAATTAGAAGAACAGAAACATGAAACGTACGAGTTATCATAAATTAATGACATTTGGTCACATGACACACATTCACAGTCAAAATGGCGGACAGGGAAAGAGGACTATTAGTATTGCAATTTTACATATTGATTTTTATAGGTAAGATTTGCATGGTTTTACGATAATTATTTAAGGGCGTTGTAAATAAATATTCTTGGTATTTTTTCCAAGAAAAAAAAATTGTCGATGGAATACTTTTTTTGATGAAAATTTTGAGATGTAGATCACATATTTTGGTTGTCACGATGGCATCACCTGACCCGGTTCTTACTGAAACATGTGTTTTAGCATTGCTAGGTTGTAAAGACTTTTGATTTTAGTCAAGTTAGAAAATAAATTTCTGATGTTGCATTGCTGTTTTCCTGAATGGTCCGTTTTCCATTGATTTGTTTTCCCATGTGTATTTGTTTACAATAGCAGGTTATATTTTCCTGGTTTATTTAAGGAGTGTGTTATGGACAAGAGTTAGTGTTTACACATGCATAGGTTAATTTTCTTCTTGATTTATTTAAGGAGTTTGCTGTCCACCAGCAGTGTTCCTGGTAACACACACACTCGGTGTTATGTAACATTCCAGGATGCAGAAGGAGCCTCGCTTTATTGATCATGTTGATATTGTCAGTGCTTTTCACTCATATTATAAAAGGGGTACAAGTCAAAACGGCACCTGGTGAAAACGGCACTGATGAAAGACAAAAGTGCATTACTGATATTGTCAATGCTTTTCACTCATATTATACATGATTATAAAAGCAATGATTTTACTCTTTAATGGAAAGAAATTTGTAGGGAGAAATCTTTTTCCTGTCACAACAAGTTATTGTAAACAAGTTTTTGAACATGATCTCAAAATAAATTTTAGAAAATATTAAGTATTTTGAGGGTAAAGAGACCACATTTCTGATGGGTCATGAAAAACACTGTAAATTGAAACAGACATGAGATTTACAAAAGAACAAAGTACATAGATGGAAATTCTTTAAGATTATGGTACATTATTAAAATATATTCAAATCTTTGAGAAAATATTTTTTTTTTTCATTCACCAAAATATATTGTTGCTAATCGGTGAAGTTAGAATGTAAGTTATTGATTAATTGCAGATGGCTTGTATGTACAATGACTTTATCATTCTGATTTCCCACTATTTACATGATTTATGTTTTCTATATTAGGATGTCAACTGGAATGGACTTACCCAGAATTCCTTCTTCAAAAGACCGAAGGCCAATATACTTGTATCAATTCTTGGACACAATGACTTAAAAAAGAAGCCGCTAACTGTTAAAAACATGGCCCGATTTCCTGTAAACACAGTAAGTCTTTGGTGAAAAATAGAAATTATCTAACAGTCATATAATGCTAATTCATATATAATGCACAACTTCTATGTTTAACCTTACTAAATTTTACAAAGATATTTGAAACATCATGTAGATTGATTTTCTGACCAATAAAAGTTCTTCCTTTATTTGTAGGATATTCCAATGGTGGACATTGCCTCTCTGATGAACACACTCCAGGGAGCTTTCTTTGATCAGAGTCCACTGTTACTTGATGCTGGCATGGATAACAATGTAAATACATAAAGCTGTTTACTCTGTATTTATGATAATGTAATAATTTTGAGTATGGGTCGAAGTTGCCATAAGAGCATACAGTCCAAATCAATTCAATTCCATTGAATATAGTAATATTACTATGATTTGTATTCGTATTAAAAAACATACATTTAGAACGAATACATTACAAGAAAAATTCAACAGAATAAGATTCAATTGAAATGATATGCAATTATTTTTGCAGTGGTTTCATATACATATTGAAAATAAATATAATTGACCTGCAGTTTCACTTTTGATTCTCTACTATGAAACATACATGTGCATACAAACTTCAAGCATCTTTTATGGTTTACTGCTTAAATAATTGACCTCCATGTTTACTTTTAGTTTTTTGATGTGCACTCTGACTTTGATGTTTTTGATTGAGGTCTATGTTTATTTTAGTTTTTGATGTCCACTCTGACTTTGACGTTTTTGATTGAGGTCTATGTTTATTTTATTTTTTTGATGTGCAGGGCGACTTTGAAGTTTTTGATTGAGGTCTATGTTTATTTTAGTTTTTTGATGTCCACTCTGACTTTGATGTTTTCCGTAAACTTCCCGACACGCTCAGGAAGATGTCTGACCGACTGCTGGACTCAGACTCCGTGTTACAGAGACACTCCGTGGGGTCACTAAATGCCAGCAAACCCAGCCATCTCAGACTGATGGGGGAGTTGCAACTCATACAGGATGTCATTAACACGGTAAAGGAATAGTGTAATTAAGTTTAATTGATTAATGCCGGAATAAAAAATATTTTTCACATAATCTTGACAGTTGACCAGTCTTTTATATGCTTATTCTATTTGTTTAAAAAGTTGTAAAAAATGAATATGTAAGTTTGCAGTTTATTTTTTTAATGAAATATAGAAATGTTTAAGTTATAGCACATGAAGTTTAAAATGAAATATTAAGGGTAAATGAAAAGTTGGCTAACCATTCATATTAATATTTTTTGTAAAGGTACTGTAAACATACAGTACAGATGTCTAGATAAATAAAACTTAAATCTTTGATTATATTTAAAGGTGAGTGACCGTCCAGAAATGCTGAAGAGTAAGACCCCCGACCTCTTTTCCTTCACCATCACCGGTCTACATGACATCGTTAACAAACATGGAGGGAAATCTTCCCTCAGACAGAGGACGCTCACAGATTGATATCAGACTTCATAACAAAGGTAAGACATAGAACACACAGACTTAACAGGCTTTTCATAATCATACAGGGTGTACTGTACATACTCAAGTGTAACTAGAATTAAACTAATAGCAGATGAATAGTTAATCAAAAACAGAAGTTTAGTTGAACATTTCTTTGGTTGTTTTTTATACCTTGTCATTTTTTTACCAATTACACTGTTCAGATGAAGGATATGGAGACAACGAACAGTATTCAATATTGTAGTCCATTAAACAATACAAATTAGGAGCAGAGCAAACACGGACCTCTAAAACATCAGAGACACGCAAAAATTTTACTCTATTTTAAAATTTGCTTCGACACAGTTTAAGGGAGATAACTCTGTCTATTGATTTTTCCCCCGCTTTGAATTCACCAACTGACAACCATTATAGGTGGTAAAATAGATTGTGATAAAAATCTCTCATGTTAGGTTCAGACTGTCTGAATCAAAGAAAGTAAAAAAAAAATACCACTACAGATTTCTTAATGGAATAAATATGATTTCAGATGACAGAAGATTTCAAGAAGTTATACAAAGACAATGTGGTGGTGGAAGTTCTGTCAATTAATCCCGAGGAAAAATATGTCAGGAAAACAAGGAGTCTGATGGCCGTGGAGGTAAATAACAGGGGAGGGGGGACCTCACAGGGGGTGAAGGTCAAACTACTGTGTTGCTCTGATCATTCAGAGCACTTGTTGGATGGGGGCCACATTGAGGAGTGAAGGTCATACTGCTGTATTGATTTGATTATTCAGTGATGACAATATATGTTTGGAACAAGGGAGGGAGTATAAGATAAGTCACACTGCTGACATTATATGGTATTGAAGTTTGTAATGTACAAGGGAAGTACAAATGTAACTCGGTTGTTTATTAAAGTCACACAAGATGATTGATAAACAATTTTCATGTACATGGCTTTTATTTCATTTTGATCGGTGAGATGCAAAGAAAAAAAAGTTTTATATTTGAAAATATACAATGTATTCTATATTCATTGACAAAGGAAACGTTTTAGTATTTAGAGGGTTTGAAAATTATAAATCAGTCAATTGTTTATCAGGTCTGCTTTGCTGGCCTTGCTTCTGATTTCAATTTAAAGATTGTCTATAATTCTCTCTCTGATTTTAGGACTCTGATGTGGACATCAATCTCTCCAAGGACTACGATGAGAATTACCCCGCCATATTTAACATTATTCTGTGGTTTATGATTGCCATGTTTGTCATCCTCTTTGCGGTGTCGTACGGGATGTGGAACATTGACCCAGGGCGGGACAGTATCATCTACAGAATGACCACGACCCGACTCAAGAAGGACTAGTCATTTCCTGTCTCCAGCTAGCTCCTGTGATTTAACTATCAGATGTTTCTCTTTCTCTAAACATTGTGCTAATAACAGGGAAATTAAGAATTGAAAATTTGTATTTATGAAGTAAAGCAATATACTGTCAGAGCCTTTATCCACTTTATATTGAAACTAAGCAATGCAAAGGATTTTTTTAAATAAAAGGCTACAGCAGTGAAATAGAAGGAAAAAATAAATTGTAAAGCTTAGGTTCTAAGATGCTCTGTGCTATTACATGTAAATTGTGAAAATGATATGAACAAATCTGCTTATTCAGGGAGGGGGCTCAATAATGGGCCATTTTCTCAAGCTCCCCGTATACGATATTGAATCATGAATTCCACCATGTTAGTATGTTACAAAATTTACCATATTGTTTGTAGAATGTGTTTGTATAATCAATTTTTGAAAAGTTCTAGTCTAGCTACTAGTGAGGGTATTACATGTATTGTATGTTCTTGTAGTTAGTCAATATTCTTTTATAGATAAGGATTGATAACAATATTATTATTATGGATTGAAATTGGGGAAAATTGTGATAAATTTTGAACATTTTATTATATCTTAACTAGGTATACAGAAACTTGAATTTTTCAAATTTTGTCAGCTATTTTGCTTCAAACATTGGATAAATTGGTTTTATTTTAAGTAAACCATATCCAAATTCTAAAGCTTTCAAGGTACTTTTAAAATAGTCAGCTATTTTGCTTCAAACACTGGGAAGAATGATTAAGTTCTATCCTCAATATACAATATTTAAAAACTTTCAAGGTACATGTACTTGAATATATAAATTACAAGCAGAGTGCTAAAAATGAAATTGGTCAGTGGAGCTTAACATTCCATTCTATGATACGTATATAGTAGAAAATGATTGTAATGTGATCTTGTTCCTAAATTAATAGTATATGTTAGATTGAGTATGTATTAAGCATCTCATGGCATTGTCTAATTATGTATCACTGCTGTGGTATTTGTGTGTACATTAGAAAGTGGGAAATGTTAAAGTAGTATCATGAATTACATGTCTTGTCCACCAAAACTAACTTTTGCAGTTGGAAATCAGTGTGTGAGTGGGTGTAAATTTTGATAGAGAATATTTGTGTTTATTAGGGTTTGTGTGAAAGTTCTGGGTGTTTGAATGTTGTGGTAATTTGATTATCTGTTCAATGATGTAGATACTTCCTAAATATGTTATAAACAAGAGTATAAACAGAATAAATAAACACCTATGTAAACTTAAAGCTTGGATTTTAGTTGTCATTTCATTGGTCTAACTCACTGTACATTCCAGATTGTAAACTCAAACCTTTGATCTCTCTAGGTACTGCAGCAGACTTATTATCTGTATTGTATATATAATAAACCAACTTTTATTCGTGGGCGAGAAATATTTTGTAATTTTTGCGACCTACTTAATTTGTGAATATTAATTATCGCAAAGTACATGTATTTATTTTGCTTTATATTTCTAGAGAATGTTTCAACATTCATAGAAATTAATCCTTGTGGATTGATTTCAAACTGACGAATTTCAAATAAAAGATGATGCAAATAATAGTTGGTTTACAGCCAGTATACAGTAGAATATCTACTAGAGACTTTACACATAACCAAAATGAACTGAAACTCTAAGCCAGTCTCTCTCATCTGTAAACAACACACGAAACAAGATTTTTTCAATTCTTTATTGCTAATTAAGCTAGATGATGTGTATAATTACATAAAAAGTATTGCACTGACAAAAACCAATCATCTTAAACAAAAAAACTTTCTTAAAAAATAAATACTGAAATGATAAGTTTTGCATCTGGCATTAAGTACATCATTGTATATACATGTATATCTAATTAAAATTCTTTTATGATTGGTCCCATTTTCTGATATGGCACAAAAAATCTAGATATGCTATTAAAATAACGATGACAATTTTTGTGAAAAAAAAAGTTAGAATAGTACTGTTGCATCATATTATAATTTTGGTATCTTACACATTGATATCTCCAGCAACATAAAAATGTAGAAATAAGTTTTCTTCAAGTATTTTATTCTGAATATCTGAAATGCTTTGAAATATATCGGTTTTCTTCTCAATGGGACATAAGCTTTCACTGTGAATGTGTTTATATTTATTGATAACAAGACAAGAATCAATTTATTAAAAAAGTTTAGTAAAAATTATCCTTCTTATTTAATAAATCTTTATCAATTTCATTCATAATCATATGCCTTGCTATCTGACATAATGATTAGATCATCAAATAAGAAGTAATTAAAGCATGCTTCAGGAAAAGTGAGGTCATACCCCAGAATTTGCATGTAAATGTACTGGTGTTTTAATAGATCAATCAGATTATATCTGAACAGGAATCATAAAAGGAATTTGTTCACCATATTCGATTATTCAATAACTACATCCAAAAGCACCTACCTGTATATCTTAGTCACTGTTCAGTGTAATTAGTTGTTACCAGTGTAGATGAATGTATGCTTTACAGCATTCCATTACGACAAAAATAACCAAGTATAACTTCAATGCAGGAGAGTAAGAAACCAAAGAAATTTACAAGAGTTGCACAGGTCAGTTTAGTATACATATAAAAACAAAGACAGATACACGAAACTGCAATAAAATGTAAACAAAGATAATGCAAGCTACCGGTAACCAGCACGAACACGGGTTGCCATTCCACACCAATAACCATGACAATAAAGCAGTCAGGTGTAAATGAAGGGTTTACCTTGGTGCCAAAATCATAGATAGCACTATTGAAAATGGTTCTGTCTATTTACGGGTCGTATTCAGCTTTACTGTATGAGCTCTATCTTCATTTATAATCATGAGTAAATGCTGATTATACATAGAAAGTGAAATTCAATCAAAATTAAAAGATTAACAATGAATAACGGAATGTATCAGATTGAACAAAACAGAAGTATTAATCAAAAGTTAAACATGGGCATGACTTATAAATCTAGCATAATGAATATCAATTTATACAAAAACAAACAGGAGATGGATTTCAGAATTGAACAAACTGCAAAAAAAGTATTGTTAGAGGTGTAGTTATCTGTTAAATAAGCTGCATACAAATCTAATTCACTGAAAACATTTTGCAATAAAAAAATGCTTGGAGTACAAAATAAATTGTGTGATTTGATGAAGACAACAACATAACTTAAATTTTTTTTTTCAGGAAAATAAATGTATTTTGTGTGACATTTTTTTACTGCATGGGAGTACAGAATCTTCCATATAAATGTGTACATTCTTTATTTTAATTAATACTAGTCTGACTGATGGGGATGGGTATCGCCAAAAATTTCATATCGCGATATACTAGTATCACAATTTTTTCCAAAAATATAATAATACCATGATTTTTTTTTACAAACAATTTTTACAATGATTTTAAATGAATAGTCATTATTTTTCTTAAAAGTATGCAGCTAGAAAAACAAAATTTCACTATTTTGAAATTTTTATGTACATAAAATAAATCATGTTTGGAATATATTCTTTTTTTTTTAAAAAATGTGAAATATTTAATGAATATAAATACATGTACCAAAATCTTTTTGGTCTCAAAATTTTACAAAAAATTGTTACCGATATTAAAATCGCACATCCCTAGGACTTTTATAAGTACCATTTTTTAAAATTCATTCTATAGAAGATATTTGTTTTTAAAGTCTTTGTGAATTTTTATAGGTCTTTTTACAAAATGTTAAAGTTGATAAACTACTAGCGCTTTACAGTTGGTGATATAATTGACATTAACATAGAACAACTGTACATTGTCAAGAAACTTTTATCAATAGGGCCATTCCAAGTTTTTTCTATGTTTAGCGTCTGCGTGCGCCTTGGTTTTTGACACACCATGTCAGAAAAATCAAAAATTAATTATTCAAGTCAAAATTAATTATTTTCGGCAATATCTCTAAATATTTGTATAATATATCATTATTGGAGTAGTTTCAGTATTTAATACCTTGATTTTGCTGAAGAAAATAACTTTCTTTAAGAAAAATGGATAAATGAAATCATATCTTTTGAAATACATCATTCTTATTACTATAAAATATGTGTTTTATTTTTTTTTTGACTTGTGTGTTTTTTGAAATTTAGGTTTTTGAAAGATGTCAAACATTGGGACTATTCATAAACTACAAAAACTGCTGAATATGAGCTAAACTTTGTGTCCAAAGTACATAGTAGAAATGTAATTCTCTGCAACCTATGAATAAATTCCATATAACTATTAAAAGTTTTGTGTCAAACAAGATACATTCTAGAGTACTTTGCAGTAGTTGTGTTTGCTATAAATGTAATTCTGCTTCTTTTGTAAATTTACTGAATGCAGACATTTGCAGGTAGATAAGTTGTGTATATTAAGTAAGATATGGGCATTTATGGACTGGAATAACATTAAAGGATACCATAAATCAACATTCTGTTTGGATAGATTTGTGTAAGATATGTAAAATATTTCAAATTTTTTTAAATTACAAAAAAAAGGAACAAATATTTGGCCCTTTATAAATTCAGTACAATATTGAACTGAAATTAAGAAAAAGTATTCATTCATTGAAATAAATAAATAATGAGATCAGAAAAAAAAATTAAAATTGTAAATATAGTATATTCTTAATATATATACCCACATTTCAACAATTCTAAATGATTTTGTGTGATGAAATAGCAGGAAAATCATATATTGTTTTTCACGATACTTTGTTCAAATAGAAATGATACCCCAAACATATTAACTAGACCCCAAGGCCTTTCTGACAGCCAGCTGCATGAAACCCCTGATATATCCCTTTGCTAAAGGCAAAGTTTTCAAAATAAACTTACAATGACTGTCCATGACAGTCACCTGAGAATACTCAGATTATAGTGACTTTCATAAGAGGCTATGAAAAAAAAAGACATCTGGTGACTCCAGTGAAATGAAAATACTGAATAAAAAAATAATAATCATCCCTGCTGCAGATAAGTAGTATTAGTAGTATTAGAAACATGGGCTGACAGGAGTTTCATACACTGGAATTAGGCCTTCACTGAAATCGCCATAGTAACAAATTAATCAAGATTTTTTTTTGAAATAACTTTTTGAAATTTTCACGTTGATATCATGGGTTCTGTTTTTTTTTTTTTTCACTTCACAACAAAGATAATCAAAAAAATTCAACATGACATCAAAACCACTCAGTAATCTTTATATTAATTCCAATGCCTTTCTTGATTATTCCAGATGAGATGATATGAAGGCTTTTCTGAGAGACAGTGAGGGACGCCTGAGGTCTCTACTTCTGTAGACATCAGTCCCCGACTCTAGCCAAACACTCCAGCCGCATCTTCTCAATCCGAGAATGAGGAAACGAACCCAGTCTCTTAAAACAGTGCTGCAACAGAAGTTATTCTCATCAGTAAATAAAACTGAATTTGTGAATTCCATTTTACATTGGAGAAAAAAAGAACAAGAGTCCTATAACGGTCACCTGAGTAAATTTTATCATGCTGTTCTCCACAAGATTCCCCCGTGTAATACCTCTTGTGACCCCCCCCCCCCAACCCCAAAATCAAGTTTAAGTTTGAGATAACAAAGTTTGACTGTTCAGAAATCAGGTCTTCATTCATACAGTGTACACATGTACAAGTACAGTATCAATTAAATGAAACATCAGTGAATGAAATGAAGTAGTGTAATTATACAAATCATCTATGATCATTTCTATCTCACCAATTGGACTGCTGATTACTCCATTTACCTATTAAGTAACAGAGGACTCATGGTGTTTGTGACAAATCTACAAAAGATGCTTACTTATCCTTGGTACCTGATCCCACCTGGGAGTTGTCAGAAGTCTGTGCTTTGTTTTTTAATTTTGCCCTGTTCATGCTTTTGCATTTCTAAGTTCTTAACTGATTGATCACTGTTTGCTATCTTCACTTTAAAAGGTACTAGCATACATGTTAACCTATTGCGATGAAAATTAGGGAGATTCAGACCTCAAAAGCGGTAGCATTGTGCGTGCGTTGTTTTACGCTTGGATTACCGACATATTTCATGTAATATATACATGTATGTAGCCTTAAATGAAACCTACAATAATTAATCTTAAATATCAACTGCAAAGAAGAAGACAGAAACACCTTAAGTTTGACATAAATTGTACATGCTCATCTTTTTGCTAGAATTGGCTGTTTAACTCAGCCTTTTGAAAAGTGATCTTTGCCAGTATAGCCTAGAAGCAATAATTCTGAATGTTCATTCAGTTGTTAAACAAAACAAAAAATCTGTGAGCTAATGCTCACTAGGTATACCCCCGCTCTAGTGTGAATAAACACTATCATGTTAATATACACAAGTTCAATTATGGACAGATGCACAGAAAAATATGAAATTGACATCAGATTCATATCAAAATTAATCCCACCTTATGGCATACCTCAGAGAAGATTGTGTTATAATTTCAAGCATCTGCAATGAGTAGTTGCTGAGAAAACTGTGACAAAAATTTGTTATGTATGAAACGGACAGACACAAAGACAAACAGGAAGTTAACATTGGATGTGATCAAAAATGTATCCCATTGTATTGCATGCCTCAGAGAAGATTGTGTTAAAATTTCAAGCATCTGTGATGAGTAGTTGCTGAGAAAACTGCGACGAAAATTTGTTATGCATGAAACGGACAGATGCACAGACAAACAGGAAGTTGATATCGGATCGGATTTGACCAAAAATGTATCCCACCGTATGGCATACCTCAAAGAAGATTGTGTTAAAATTTCAAGCATCTACGATGAGTAGTTGCTGTGAAAACTGCGACGAAAATTTGTTACGGACAGACAGACGGACAGACAGCTAGACAGACACACAAGGGTAAAACAGTATACCCCCCTCTCCTTCGGAGCGGGGGTATAATGATGACATGGTTTAAACTATATCTAAAACAAGTTCCTATCTTTCGCTATATAAATCAGATTTCCCACGATGATCGAAAACGAAAGTAGAGATGTACCACATGGCTTGGTCAATCGAGTGATTTCTATTGACTTTATTGATAAAATTGGGAGCTCCTGTGCTTTTATAGACGATACCAAACGTTTTCATCTAATTATTAAAAGCTGTATCTCCTTTTTCATGGCAGTGATGTTGACTAAATTTATCATAACGAGTTTAATCACTGGTAATCTTGTGCTGTTTTTGTTGTCAAATTCGTGCTTGAAATCTATGTACACATCGGTACAAAAAAAGCATTTGTATGCTTCTGAGTCAAATCACGTGATATCTAACAAGATTTTATGAGAGTGGCTTCAAAAATGGATACCCAAGCGAACCAAAAATACTTTAGATGCAACTTTTGTAGAAAAGCGGTAGACTCCCGCCTAATTCGGTAGAGTTAACATGTATGGTACTAGTCAATCTAATTAAAATTATATGTTGGATCCCCTCGCATACTCGCTACACCAACATTGAACAACATCCCATAGAGGGTCACGTCAGGGGTCAAAATCTATCAACCAATCAAACTGTCGCTGGCAAAATCATCGGATATTTGTTGACGAAGTGATGGGAATAAGTCTAGAGTTGTTCCGAATTTGACCTCTGACGTGACCCTCTTTGGGATGTTGTTAGATGTTAGTGTAGCAAGTACTGTAGATCACTTAATTTTCGCGACACCTTATTTTCGCGAGATAGTCATTGACTCTTGATTAGCGAGACAAAATCTTCACGAATTATGGTTATTGCTCTATATAATCTTAAGGAATACTATTATACGCGAGAATTTAAATTTCGCGAGCACACTGTCTCGTGTAATTACGTGAAAATAAAGTCCTCGCGAATAAAATGTGATTTACAGTATGCGAGCGGATACTAACATCTAATTTTAATTAGATTGGGTACTAGTAACACCAAAATATTAACACACCATCTCTTAGTTGTCTTACCTTCATTAACTTGTGACAGTTCAGACTCTGTGGATTTTTGATGATGGACTGTAGCTCATTCACCATTGACGTGAAGTTATCACAGGCCATTAGGCGTTCTTTATTCTGAAGGATTAACATGGCTGACACCCGTAGTAGAACTTTACTGCCCTCATAAAACATACAGTCCCAAATACGTAGAACAGTCTAAAAAAGACAATTACTCACAAATACAGCTATTAAAGAGAAGATAATAAATGAAGTTTGAAGAAAGCCAAATTTGCTAATCTAAAGTAGAAAGGTACTGATGAAACCCCCACCCTGACCTCAGGGGTCATGACTTGCACAAATCTACACTACCTGAGGATGCGTCTTGATCAATATGACTAATAATGGCTTTGCCTTAACAAGAGATCTATATCTACAATAATTTTGATCAAATTATAAGATTCAGATACTTTCCTTCTTTACTTGTAGTTGTACTCATTTTCATTTTACATTTATACTCTTCTGATAAAATCATCAAATGGATGAATATTCTTAATACTTCATAAATTATTTACAGATCTATAATGTCTCAGATCACATATGAAGGACCAACTTTTACATGCTTTTCTTTCACAAACTGAAGTTATTCATTCATTACCGAACCTACAATAAGTACCTCTGTGGGCAGCACATCAGCAAATAGACACATGAACCACTTTGTTCCCACAAGACACCAGTGGACTCCCACTGTCTCCATGTGTTGATATAAAGCAGGGTCCTTCCATCTGCAAACCAACAAAAAAATCTACATGTATACCTAAGAAACTCCTCAACCAAGTAGCTAGTTGTTCTCTCTTCATTTTGAGCATACTACATGTACATACATGTACTTATAATTCACTCTATTTTCTCTATATATTTAGCACAGAGTTTACATGTACAGATGTTAACCTGACTTCACTACAAACTTTTATTAAATGAGAGCACTGGCTTACTTAATGATTTCTCCTAACAACTCTTGTTCTGCCTTGACTGCTTCCATACCAGGGGAATAAAAATCTGTAAATACATTTTAAAATCATGCAGGTACACCTAAAACTCAGGAAGTATGCATAAATAAAAGTCTGACTCATAGTTGCTGTTAAAGAAGCCTGTTGTTTGCACCAAGTTGATAAATGAAGTTTCCACTATGATCTCTAATGTTACCCTCTAATCTCTGAGACATTGTATACTACATCAAGAAATTCCGCCTCATTATCATACATATACTGACCTGGTAATATTTTATTCATCAGGCAATCCATCAGCCAGAACACGCTCTCTTCATCCTTAACAATGAGGAGCAACAATCCAGCTATGAAATTAAGTCCCTGTAAAAAAAAAAAAACAATTTGGCAATAGAATCAAGTCCCAGACAATGCCTTTTCAGTAAGCCTAGACCAGACAGTGACTTGTTCATCCAATGGTCAGCTTGAACCAGAACTTGACTTGATTGGTCTGTTTGAATCTTACAGAGACTTGATTGGTCAGTTTGAATCAGACAGTGACTGGATTGGTCTGTTTGAATCAGACAGTGACTGGATTGGTCTGTTTGAATCTGACAGTGACTGGATTGGTCAGTTTTAATCAGATAGTGAATTGATTGGTCAGTCTGATGGACAGTGACTTGATTGGTCATTTTGATTAAGACAGTGACTTGATTGGTCAGTTTGACAGACAGTAACTTGATTGGTCAGTTTGATAGACAATGACTTGATTGGTCAGTTTGATTAAGACAGTGACTTGATTGGTCAGTTTGATAGACAGTGACTTGATTGGTCAGTTTGATAGACAGTAACTTGATTGGTCAGTTTGATTAAGACAGTGACTTGATTGGTCAGTTTAAATCAGACAGTGACATGATTGGTCAGTTTGAATCAGACAGTGACATGATTGGTCAGTTTTCAGTGATTTTTTTAGGGCCAATTGACTTGAGTCCCAATTGTAAATATGCCTGTTTTTTCCCAAAATGTAGTGGAAGTTTTCCCAAAGAAAAACTTACAAAATATTTGATCAAATTCAGTTTGTTTATTGCATGTTTTTCAATGAAGTTCAAGCAGGTTTTGTTGTTCAGCCATGTTCGATTTCTTCACAATTAGATAATTCATACCCCAATTGTTCTTGATGCAAGTAATTAGATAACTCATACCAAGAATAGTCTTGATTTGTTATAACAATTGCCTGTTAAAGGTGCATTACACAGTTTCGGTTATAATTTCAACTTTTATTTTTCCATTTTTAGAAACATTTAACTTAAAAAAGGGTCTTTCTAATAATCATCAAAAATTTTAACATCAGATGTCGAGATACAACAACGATTTATAGCTATAAACCTTTTGTTGTGTAAACAAAGTCCGTGTAATGTTTTTGTTTTCATAGGTTAAAGTACTAATATATGTTCGTTCGAAGTAGATAATTTCAATAAAAAGTTATTTTTAAATACGATTCTACAGTTTCAGTAGATTTGCTGAATTTCATTTTGTTATAAATATGATATTTTCTATTTGTAAACAAAAACAAGGCACGAGCCTTGTTTACATTATGAAGAACTTTAAGTTCTGTATCTAGTTTGTTAACCAACAAATCATTAGATGATGCCTTAGGTAGGAATAGTAAACATTAAAATTGGTTTAAAAAATTCAGTGGAAACTGTGTCCATGCCCCTTTAAAGTCATACAAAGACAAAAACAATGCTTTTTGACAATGCTTTTTAAGTAACAGGGTTTTCTTGGAGATTCCCAATTTAGCCATATTGACGCTGACATTCCCAATTCTGAGGGCCCCAGCCCCAAGTCCCAAAGTACTGAAAAAAAAACACTGGTTTTAAAAAGACAGCAACTTGACTTCTAAGTTTTAACCACTGACATGATTGGTCAGTTTGATTCAGACAGTGACATGATTGGTCATTTTGATTAAGACAGTGACATGATTGGTCATTTTAAACTAGTGAATAGATTGGTTACCTGACAATACCCTTTGTCTGGGTTATGATGTGATACAGCTATCAGGACGTTACTGAGGGAGTTACGTAGACCATCCTTGGTAGAGAAGTATATATTCTCAGGAAACGTCCTGTGTAAATCTAAAACAGAACAGACAACAATTCATCCATTGTATTAAAATATAAACAGAGAGGACTAAAAACTTCGCTGGGAAATATTTCCTTCAATAAATCAGGTGTAGTTAGTTTGTATGATGCCCTTAAATTATTACGTACAATAAATTGTAGGTTCCAATCAACTTAAACTCAATATAATGGTCTACTTTATGTTCTAATCTTATAACTTCCTTATCTTTTTTATGATTGAAAGGCATACATTGTGTTTGCACTTGGTGTATATAATTTTATTGAGTAAATTTACAATTTATTACAATTCAACACTTAGATCAAAGCTTCTATTTATAATAGGGCTGGGTATTGGCCGAGATTTTGTATTGCGATATTTTAAATGTATTGGGCCAAAATAAAATATACCTTTGTTTCCCCTAACGCGACCGACCCAACTAAAACGCGCCGACTGAAAAGATTTTTTAAATAAGATGATTCAACTTTTTTTTTAATTGTCAACCAAGTTTTATAAAATACAATGTCATCAAAATCATTTTTTTTTAGAACGGCCGACATTGTTCTACTTTGATTTTCAAGTATTTGATGGAAACAAAATAGTGCCAAGAAGTGATTACATGCACAGAGAAGTAGTTTTTCACAAAACTACGGCGATGTCTCAATCTTATGCCTTTAGCTGACTAGAATTCTTCACTCTTGAAACAATTTGAGAATAAAATTTATCATGACTAATTAAGAGTGTTTCGGAGGTGTCTTGTAGTCTCCATGTGAGTGAATAAATTTTCGAAAGGGACGGTAAACAACGAACAATCAAATCTGCCTGTTGAATTTCAGGTACGTAATACATGGAAAAGCCAGCCTCATGAGCAGATCTAGATGAGGGGCCCAGCTGATGAACACATCATTCAGTTTCACTGCATTTTATTTTATTTGAGTTTTGACCTACTAAAACAATTCATCTATGTTCCTATGTTAACTATATGCCATTATGGAATCATAGGAGTTGTTGTAAATATGTCTGCATATTCATCCTGATAAATATAATTCAGTTGTACTTTTTCATGCCTTCATTTACTTCGTGACTATGACATTGTTTTATATAGCATTTTTATCATTTTGTATAGATTCGGTTTGGTTCATTTAAATATTGTTTAAATACTCTTTCCAAATAGTTTTGAAATTATAATTCAGCTTCCTGAGACGTCCAGTGTTATTTTCTTTAATTAGGTCCTTGAATATGGGTTGTTTCTTTGCTCTTAATCCCTTCGAGATTTGTTGGGACGACATTTGAACATTTCCCCATTGCCCCAAATTTAGACATACTACGCACTTTTTTGCCATTAAGGAGTGTGATCTTTTTTGAGCCAGCATCTTTTGCGACACTGGACAAAAGTTTTTATGGTCCCTTTTGAAGGACCGTTTTCGACATTCCTCATTGGTATTTAAACCTGCGACTTAAAATTAGCCACTTACGCCTTAACTCCAAAGCAAAATGCTCTAGAACCACTGCAAATATCATGGCCTTCAAAAAAGTACATTGACTGTCTATACATAAGCACTGGAGGTTGATTGAAGGTTTGAAAAATATATTCGGTTGTCCAGTATTTGCGTGTTTGAGAATCTTGTCTTTTTTATTCGATTTATATAAATGTACTCTGGCGTGAGATATTTCACAAGTTCATCTAAATCACAGTTGTGAATTAATTAATCATGAATTTTGCTTTTGTTCACAAATAACTTTATTTGGTACTTTTCATAGTTATAAATGTAACTTTCCATTAAATGTTAGAATGTCTTTTCAAGGCTGCTGTCAAAAAATAAAATTGTTTACCTACCTACCGACCCAACTTGAGAATTTAGGGTCGGGTTAGGGGAAACAAAGATATTTTTAATTCCGGCCTTGCGATATGCAATATTTTCTATGTAATTTAAATGGCATTTTCTCACTATATTTACTTTAATTTACATGCAGAATGTACATAACTATGATAAATAACCAACACAGAAAAAAAAAATCTTGTGTTCATTTCAATTAAATTATTCTCTGAAATGTTCCCACAAAACAACTTCTGTCTTACTGTTTGGATTAATAACAATCTTTCAAAAGTGCATTTTTATATTTAATGACAAAATTCCTTAATCTTAGCATATTGCGAAATATCGATATTACAAAATCATTTTGCGATATGATATTTTTTGTCACTGTATTGCAATATATTGAAATATCGATATTATTGCCCAGCCCTAATTTATAAGCATTGCCAAATATTTTCATTTAATTTTAACAATTGTATTTTATTTTCCTTTCTGATTTATTTCAGAATCAAAGGTTTTGTTTCAATATTAATTAATCCAATATCTTATGTTACTGTAATTTAGTTATACAGTGAAACATGTCTTATCCAAATGTTGTGTATTCTGAAATCTTGCCTTATATACCGGTAGTCTAGACAAGAACTCCTTTCAAAAAATTTCATAGTTTAAAATTTTGTCTAATCCATACTAAGTATTGTTTAGTTTGGCCAATTCCTCTGGTTTTTGAATGAGTATAAACATGGTAAAGTTCAAAAGAATTTTTAAAAAACCCAGATTATTGATTAGAATGAATTTTAACATTAACATAAAGATGATTAAAAAAACAAACAAACCTAGAGCTATAGTTTCTACTACAGTTGTGTCCTTTTCACCCAGTAGCAGTAATTTATATGTTTTAGGGTTCATCCTCTTTTTTTCCTCTGCTCCACTCAGAAACATCCAGACCTTTTATAAAATTTATAAATTCTCAGAATAATCATTAGTATTGACAATTGTGGCATAACAATAATACATGACATTGACCTAATACCGGTATATATATTGTAAAGGTTTGACAAGTATTTCTGTCCTACTTTGAAAATAAATATATCTATGAACTGAAATACAAAGATTCTAATAAAAGATTAACTTTGAACAATCATTATCAAACTCTGAAAATAATTCAAAAAGACTTACATATTTTCTATGTTCATTTGGAATTCCCTTCCTACAAAACCTCTTAACTGAAATGGAAAGGTATATAAAATACATGTAAACTCATCTACCGGTATATGAACTTTTTAAAACTAGATTTGAAAAGTTTTTTCTAAACTGAAGAACATAAGATCAAATGTGTTCATATTGTAAATGACCTCCCCCCCCCCCATTCCCTACATCAGCTACACATAGATCAGATAAAATTAAAAAAAAAAAAAAAACATTTGTGGAATAAAAAAAATAAAGGTATCCAAATTCAGGAAGAATTTTATTGTTCCACTCCTTAATGGATAAAGAATACTCTGAAAAATATAGTTATGTTGAGATTGCAAATTAAGCAGATCATTTTTTTTCTTCAATTTATGGAAAATCTGTCAATGAAACATTATATATACAAGCCACAACAGTACACCTATCCCTAACCTGTATTGTTACATGTGGATCCCATGTAGATGCCTAACAATATGGGGATATTGATCTGACTATCTATTTTGATCATTTCTGAAAACTCTGTTTTCAAGCTGTTGTCTGAATAGAAATGACAAACTTATAGCAGATACCAAATATATTTTTATGATGAGATTTTAACCATTTTTATGACATTGAGTCAAGATTTAAGCACTAATTTTTTTTTTTTTAATTTCTAAACAGTTCCACAACAGGAAATAATTTTAAAAACATATGGCTTATTTATTACATGGCATTCCTCTCTCATTCAGAAACCCTGTCCACTTCCTAGTATTTATGAAAAATTAAGCAGCGATAAGGAAGCAGTATTTAATACTTCTAGTTAAAAATAGCAGCCATACAAAATTTAACATTTAATTGCAGAATTAACAAATTTATACATTTGTCAAATCTGAGTTGAAATTTCATGTGCCTATGGGTAGTAACTGTTAATGCAATAATTATGATCAACATTGGTGCCAGGCACAAGAAGAATTAACTGTCTTGGGGCAGGTCCTCAAAAATTGCATTCCTAGGCTGTTAGTGTGAAATCACTTAATTTTTTTTTTTTTTTTTTTGGAAGTTGAATTTTCACTGTTTTTGAGGCTGGAGAGACCTAAAAATTATGACCACCAAGAAATTAAAAATTCCATACGAATTCTATTAAAAATTCTCCAACCCATGAAATCAAGTCCCCACAAACCAACAATTTTTCCTCAAACCTTGAGCATTTTACACCATGAAAATATGTGATTTTACAGTACTTTTATAAAATGTCAAGGAATATAATACCTAAACTAATTGGGATAAAAAGAAAGTCACCTATTGGAGCATTGCAGATAAAAATTAAATGTCCATTTCTGGAGTTTGTATGAATCAGATTTAATTATTAGAGTGTACAAATTAAACTCACAGGATTTATTCTGTTCATGATTTCATTGGTACAATACAAACAGTACAAATTTTAAATTTGCTTTGCTCCACTGGCTTTGGAGTTTGCAGAAAAAGGTTATTTAGTATCCATACATCCCCCCGCTCTCTTTCTCTCTCTCTTACAAGTTTGAAACTTAATGTATAAGTTTACATTTTTATCATGCCATGCTTCATGGTGCTTCATGTCTTTATACTAAATACAACTGCACTTCTAAAAGAAGGGGAAAATGTGACAGACTCAAACTAAGAATACAACCTAAGTCCCCTGCTTATTCTGAAATAAATTCCAAATATAGCTGTGGCAGTCACAGGGTTCCAAATTAACTCATGTCCTTAAGTCCGAGACTAGTAAAAATTGTGTCGGACTAGCAGACTTTGTAAGGTATTAGTCCGTACGGACTAGTGCAAATCCAGATATAAGTCTTGAATTGGTTCACATTTTATTAATTTTATTTCTGAGTCTCTTAGATGTTTGAAAATAAATGAGAAACGCAACCGCGATAAAGCGTTTTCTACATTGTGATCAATAGACAAAGACGTGACCATGTGGAGATTTCTGAAAGTTGAAAACCCTCTTTCTTCACCACATGCTTCTAACTGATGTATGGACACATATTTCATTGAATTAATTGATAAAATTTTAAGATTTATATTATTCTTTTTACATACTATAGGGCGGACTAGAGGAATAGGTTGCGGACTAGTGGAAGCTAGAAGTCACTAGTCCGTGCGTTAAAAAAGTTAATTTCAAACCCTGAGTCAGCCAGGTTCGATTGCCTTTGGCCAGTAGAGCACTTGACCAGAGATTCAGGGGGCCCAGGCTTGAATCCCGGTCTGGTCCACTTCATTGCCTCCTCTCCCTTTACATTTGTTGCCATATCATGCCATGGAACTTACAGGTGAGAGGCCTGCCAGGGATGTGCCTGGGTTGGGGTCTTTGGAGACCAAAGAACAAAAAGGAGGGTGGAATGTTGCTGTAAGCCAGGTTCAATCGCCGGTGGCCAGATAGCTCAGTTGATAGAACACATGGCCGGTCTGGTCAACTGTATTTTCTCCTCTCCCGTTACATAGCAAAGGAAGCTGATTGACCATTTTTATTTTCATTACATGTTATACTGTATACAGGGGTGTTTTTGCCCTGTGTTATATTTGCCCTTTTGCACGTCTTGCCAACAATTTGCCCCATTTTAAAATCATGCACCAGTAACAGTTTTGTTTTAGAAATAAGACAATGTAAATTGAATTCACCCTGTTTTAAATTCTCCTCATGTGATAAGGTCAAAAGGGGCGAAAATAAAACAGGAGCAAAATTTTTCCTGTATACAGTAGCTGTCAGGGACCATTTTGTAAACTCACCTTTCCTATTCTTAGCGATATCCCCTCCCTTGGACACTAATGACTTCCAGCGTGACTCTCTCCGAGCCAGTACAGGGAGATAACTTGCCATGAAATCATCGTAAGCATCTGAGTTAGGGTCGTGACTCCTGTCAAAACCGTACCCGTCCACCTGGCTTTTAAACAGAAATAATAAGGGGAGTCATGTTGTACTACATGGTACACATGGTCAGCTGCATATAACAGTGTATAAAGTTAGTTACAGACACAACAAATAGAAGGGACATCTATATAAATATAGGTCCCTGCAAATAGTAATAAAGGTGTAAGATAAAATATGCTGCTTCTAAAATTACTTTGAAAATTTTACCTGTTGTTAACTTGCGATATTATAGATCAAGTAATAAATTATTAAAGCCCTCCACCCCTTTTCAAAGACAAGTCTCTGCTTCTACTCAACTACAGACATCAAAAAATAAAAATTCGCTGGAACACGAACCTTCTGAGGGTGTTGTCAACGTCTTTTCTCTCCCCCATGTCATCCCAGACCCGGTGTTAAGTCTCCTATCGATTTTATCATCTTCTCTACCTACTCTCACAACGATCTTCGAACCATCATCTGCTAGAAATGAACAGGAAATACGCTAGCGACACCTGCCAAGGACGATAACTCCTAGTGCCCAACACTGTTTGGCGGATCAAACATTCAGGGTTGGAGAGCTTTAAAACAATCATTAAAATAATCATTTTTTTTTTTATGTTAGAAAAACCAAAGGCTAAAGAGTAAAACAAACTTATATACATACATTATCATGATTATATGGGAACAGTAAAGAAAATAAACGAATGACACAAAAAATAATTAAATATTTAATACGTCAGTCTAGTAAATGAATGACTAAATAAATAAATATTTTAAATAAATAAATAATAATAAATAAATAAAATAATTCGATTGATTTGTAATAAATAAATAAATTATCCAAAGAAATGAATGAATAAATGAATGATGAATAAATAAACTAATTAATAAATAAATATCCTGACTGATTAAAAAAAAACAACAAATGAAAAAATTGATTAATAAATACTAAAATAAATAAGCAAAGAAATAGAAATAAAAAAAAAATGACTTAAAATCAAAATCTTATTTGATTCAATGTTCATAGTTAGTTGATTTAGCTGAGTAGCTCTTCGACAAAAATTTCTCTATATATCAAACTCAATAGCTGCACAGTAGAAATACTATAAATCCTAACAGATAATTACTCTGATCATTACACTGTACAACATGTACGGTCTACTAGAACCGCTAAAATCTTATCTTTTCTCCTGAATACACACGGGTATATACGAAGGGAAAGGAATTTAATGCCTTAGAAACAACAAGCCCTATCTTTATAATGGAGGCATTGGTTCGGATGATCAGACAGGTGCGCGCTTTTTAATTTTTTCCAATAAACACTTTCCGTTTGTTCATTAGTGATTATTGGGCGATTGTCTCTGAGCCCTCGTATCTATCAACAAACAAAGAGACACACACAGTAAACGCCATTCCCACCTCTTCAAATTTTCGACCAAAAGTTTTGGATAAGAGAGAATATCATTTAAAATGCAGGTACGTTGTTAAATGTATCAGGTTCTATTTAAGTATATGTAACAGATTCCATTATGCTTATACATTATGCATCATCCTTCCTTCATTCATGAAAAAATTCCATCGAAGTTCTAATTGTATCGAATATTTTTGTTTGTTACTTTCTGAACTATTTTATAGGTTACATTTCAAATTATGCAAATATAGCAAACACACACCCGACATTTTCTTTTTCAATGCATACAGATAAGATGTAAAATGCGTTTTCTTTAATTAAAGTTAGATTATATAAAACAAATTTGTTCATTAGATTAAATTCTACAATATTTATTAACACTCTTTAATCACTTTACATATATGCATTGCACTGAACATTTCAAGATAGCCAGGGAGTTTTATGACGTTATTGTTTCAAGAGTGTCATAAATCAACGACGAAGAGTAATATATACCCGGTACATTTAAAAACAAACTTGATAGTCTTGGTGACCCCTCAAACACTTATATACGTTTTGAAATATAGGACCTAGCAACGAACAATGGGTCCTTTTCACCAAATTATAACACCCCCCCCCCCCCATTTCCAGGCTGATGCTTCAGTACATGTAGAATACCCTAGGGTGCGAGTCAAAGAAAACTTTGATGGTTTGTAACATAAAATTACTGATAATTGATGTATATAAACTTATTTTGTATTATCTTGCTCTGTTGTGCCTTGATTTTCTTCTGCTTTTTTCTAACCATTTTCAACTGCAACAAAATTTCTAAGAACGCCTCCCTGCTTAGTGAGTAGTAAATTGTAATGACTAGCGACTAAAATAGTTAAAATTTTATTCTCTTTGATAGCATAAAAAAACAATACACTTAAATTTCAATAAATCGGATCCTTTAGCAAAAAGCTTAGCTATATCAATTCATTACAGTAAGGTATACATGTATACCTGTGTTTGTTTCAGTCAGAGCTTTTATTTGGTCCAATAAGAAAAAAATGCATGTTGTTAATACAGTTTCAAAGTGTATTGCTCAGTTATTGCTGAAACCATATCGGAATATCTATATTTTAGCGTAAATTCACTTACAGTTGTATAATCATCGATGTTATATATGTTACTATTTTTAGGCTGGATACCTGGTCCAGCAACGCACAGACACCCGGGATTTAACCGGACTTCCGGGGTACGCCAGGGTGATGCAGGCTACAGGACTAGAGAAGGTACATGTAAGACTCGTACAAAGATGTGTATCACAGTGTTGGTTTACTGGTTGGCAAAGATTAACTGTTCAATTTGACAAGCACAAGCTACTATCATGCATGGCATGGAGCACACGGCGAATGTGACCGGTCAGCAGGGGATGCTCACTCCTCTATGGCACCTGATACCACTTCTGATTTTTTTGGAGGTCCTTGTTTGCTCTGCTCCAATTTTGCATTGCTTATATTAGACTTTTGAGCGTGAATACAGTTCGTTATCTCATGTTTTTCTTTTTCTTTTTTACGAATTTCAAAATTTTAATTTGTATTTTATTTAAAGACTCAAATTATTCATACAAGAAAATCACGTGAATCCCGAGACGAAGGCTATCACAGCAGTGAACGACCTAAGACGTACACGAAGGAGAGAGAACCAAAGACATTCCGAGAACCAATCAGTTACAGAATTCCGGAACCCAGATCCCGAGTTATAATGACAAACAAAGGCAAAAAACCACTCACAAACGGTCTGATTCCTTTACCGGAAACAGATCGGTCAATTGAGGCACCCAAAGATGTCGAAAAAGTAGATTTCAGAGCAAAGGAACCCAAGGAAAAGAAAGAAAGAGAGCCGATTAGTTTCAGGGAACCAATCAAAAAGAAGGCAGCTGAGAAGCCCAATCAAATGGAAGGGAAAACACCACGTGACGCGCCTCCAGCAGCAGAAGTAGCTAGGGCAAGTAATGCATGTATCCGAAACAAATTTATAACGTCTGTTGCAAAATCATTTGATCATAGAAATTTTCAAAATTGAATCTTTATATTGACTTTATAAATTCTGATCAAAAAGGTTAAGAAAACAGAACGGGAAAATAGGGCTTTGAAAGTTAATGCCATATTACATTGTAGAATATTCCGGATTTGCCAATTCTTCCCAGAGCTTCTCTTAGGATTGATGACCTTAAAGATGACTTCTTAACTTGTGAAGTGTGCAAGTCTGAATATGACGAAAAGGAACACACGCCACGAGTATTGCCATGTCTGCACACGTTCTGTAACCGTTGCCTCGAAAAACATGTCAGGGATTGGTTCATATATTGTCCAAGCTGCAAGTCACAACACACCTTGCCAAATGACAGCGTTAAAAACTTCCCTAAAGAAAATACACGCCGAACACTACGAGATTTTGTTCAGCTGAAGAAGAAAACGAAAATTCCTTGTAGGGATTGTCCGGATGGCGGAATTGCTGGATTCTTTTGCAAAGACTGTTATTCCTTTATGTGTTTTGAATGTCGAAAAGCTCACTTAAGGAATTTCATGTCCCGCAGCCATACCATTACCCCAGTCGATCAGTTGACCAATTCAGGCATCGAGCCTTTCCTTCGACAGCAGACCTGCGATATGCCTGGACACGAAGGGCAGCAGCTTGTGTACTACTGCACAAGAAAGGGATGCGAAAAGCCTGTCTGCAAGATGTGCACCGTCCTAGACCACGATGAGACATGTGGACATAACACCCGACGCCTGGCTGATGTTTACGAGGACCACAAGGCAGTCATAAGCAATCTGACGAAGGACATGGAAGATCGAATCACCTTCACGAAGAACGTGATGTTTGACACAGAGGAAGAAATGAAGAACCTGGACAAGAAGTACCTGGATATAACGAAAGACATCGACAAAGAAATTGACGAGAGCATACAGATGCTGGAAGTCAGACGACGAGAACTCAAAGACACCTTGAAAGGAAAATGCAAAGATAAACGTGCCATATTACAGAAACAACGAGAGGGGTTGAAGTACACCCTGGTGCTGATGAATGCTGGGAAAGAATTTTCCAGCCATATTATGGCTCACGCGATGCCTGCAGAATTTGTCATCCTGACGGATACAATTTCAGCAAGACTCTCCATGTTAAAAGACAAGCAAATTGAATCCTGTCCTCTAGAAAACTCATTTTTAGCTTTTGATAAGAATCATATGGGATCTGAATTTAAAGTTTTTGCAGTGGGAATGGGGAAAATCAGATCTACCGCCATTTATCCTCCTAAAACGATGGCGGAGGCATTCGATGTCCCAGTCGACAACGAGGCAGAGGTGATGAAGCTCTTCTTATATGACAGCAAGGGTGTCCCCCAGAAGGACTCCTTTGATTGTGTCCAAGTAGAGATCAGAGATCCAAAGGGTCGGATGAACTTGGCTTCTGTTGAAGACGCAAGGACAGTGGATGGTTGCTATAGAGTTTACTATACAGCTAGTCAGCTGGGACAACATCGGGCCTTAGTCAAGGTGTTAGATCGCTTGGTCAAGGAGGATGGTTATTCATTCATTGCCAGGACTCCAGGTATAATCAAAATACCAACACGTTTTGTACAGATTGCAGAGTTGAACATCATTTCATTAAACTTTTGTAGTAAATTGATTTGAATTTGTTTTCCTGAAATTTTTATGTCAAAGTTTCTGATACAACGATGGTGTCCAAAAAACCTTTCATTTTTCATTTTAGGTGAAATTGATAAAAGATATGGGGACATAACTTGTAAGTATCATGTTTTGAATTTCAATTCATATGCATGTATGATACATGTTTTATCCAAAACCCATGGACAAAATTTGATTTATTTTTTCATTAATTTATAGGCCCTGGCTTTACCTTTGACATTGAAACTGCTCATGCAGAACGTGATGTAGCACCTGATGGAAGGATTCTTCGCTCTGACGTGACTACACTAAAACGGAAAACAATACGCGGGTTAAAGAAACCCAGAGGTATGAACGTAATTTCTTTCGAATAATTCATCCTCTAAGAAGTTTTGCAACCTTTTTTTGGAAATATTCTTGATGAAATACATTT